AAGCATCAATAAGATGAGAGTCAGTAGAAATCTATAAGACTTTTAACCTAATAATATATGGGTTCCATATCCAAATGCATAGCTATCTTTCATTGCTTATTTTGAAGCTAGAAGCAGAATTAAAAAGCCAGTGCTCTCAAACAGCCTCTCTGTTAAGATCCTACAGACTCCTTTAGTTTTGCATTACGTACACAGTGTACTCATTGGCTATCCATTCACCACTTCCTTGTTTTTCAGTTACTTTAATATGTTCTCTGGGACTCCTATAATCTCAGTCTAATTGTTTATTTGAGCACAAACACTGCCTGTTTCCCCCTTGCTTATCTGTATGCATTCTAAAGTATAATTAAGAAAAAAGCCATGTCACATTTTCACACTATCATGAAGATGATAGTGAAACAAATTAAAGTAAAATGATTCACTTTTCTTCATACAAATTAGCAGACTGGGGAAGCAGAAAATGAGCTAACAAAAACCCTATGCCAACAAAGAAATTAGTAAGCAAACAAGTCAAACCACAAAGGCATAATAAAATGAACACAAGACAGAAATCAATACAAATCAGAGGTTATATTTTGTCACACGTGGGGGAGAGGGGGAGAATAGCAGACAACCTTAGGGGACTTATTTACAACTGTGATTTTTAATTTTATTTTAACAACAATGTGTAGGGCACCTTAGAGACTACCAAATTTATTTGAGCATAAGCTTTCGTGAGCTACAGTTCACCTCATCGGATGCCATTCAGTGGAAAATACAGTGGGGAGATTTATATATACAGAGAACATGAAACAATGGGTGTTACCATACACACTGTAACGAGAGTGATCACTTAAGGTGAGCTATTCCAGCAGGAGAGCAGCGGGGAAAAACCTTTTGTAGTGATAATCAAGGTAGGCCCCTAAATAGATATGTGGACGCAGTTGGCAATGGGCTTTGTTGCAAGGATAGGTTCCTGGGTTAGTGGTTCTGTTGTGTGGTGGCTGGTGAGTATTTGCTTCAAAAACAGACTCCAATGAGAGACTGCTGAATTGGAATTAATTTGCAAACTGAATACAATTAACTTAAGCTTGAATAAAGACTGGGAGTGGATGGGTCATTACACAAAGTAAAACTATTTCCCCATGTTTATTCCCCTCTCCCACCCCCCACTGTTCCTCAAATGTTCTTGTCAACTGCTGGAAATGGCCCACCTTGATTATTACTATAAAAGGCTCCCTCCCCCGCCCTCCTGCTGGTAATAGCTCACCTTAAGTGATCACTCTTGTTACAGTGTGTATGGTAACACCCATTGTTTCATGTTCTCTATGTATATAAATCTCCCCATTGTATTTTCCACTGAATGCATCTGATGAAATGAGCTGTAGCTCACGAAAGCTTATGCTCAAATAAATTTGTTTGTCTCTAAGGTGCCACAAGTACTCCTTTTCTTTTTGTCAATAATTTTGTGTGCTTCAACAACCCTTCCCCCTTTGAGTTAACTGAGGATCTGAAGGGTTGCACAAGATCATTTCCAGCTGAACTGGACTGCAACCCAGGTTCTCTATCTGCTAAGGACGAGACCCTGCAATTTATTCTAAATGTGTGAAATCCTATGAACACCCAAAGCACTGCTGAAATCAGTGTGAAAATTCTGAATCTATTATTATAAGAAACCCCCAAGATGACTTTGGTCTCGTCTTCACTGCAACAGTTAGCTCAAATTACTCCACCTGAGCTAGCTCAAGGGAGAGCAGGCACATCACACAACAATACTGGAACTACACAGTGATTATATTCGGCTTGGTCCACACTACAGATGTATGTCAGTACAGTAGAACCTCAGGGTTATGAACTGATCAGTCAACTATACACTACATTTGGAACCGGAAGTACGCAATCAGGCAACCACAGAGACAAGAAAAAAGCAAGTACAGTACAGTACTGTGATAAATGTAAACTACCAAAAAAATAAAGGGAAAGCAGTATTTTTCTTCTGCACAGTAATGTTTCAAAGCTGTATTAAGTTAATGTTAAGTTGTCAACTTTTGAAAGAACAGCCATAAAGTTTTGTTCAGAATTACCAACATTTCAGAGTTACGAACAACTTCCATTCCTGAGGTGTTCGTAACTGAGGTTCTACTGTATAATTTGTGTCGCTCAGGGAAAATCCACACCCGAGTGACGTAGTTATACGGACTGAGCTCCTGGGCTTCTCCCATCAACACAGTTAATGCCTCTTGTGGAAGTGGAGAATCTATGCTAAGGGGAGAAGCTCTCTGTTGGTGTACGTGGTATTTTCACTAAGTACTACAGCGGCACTGCCGCAGTACTGTATGTGTAGACAAGCCCTCAATAGCAGAGAGTAGCTGAATCACCACTGCATTACTAGGTCAATGAGCAGCAGCATTTGAGCTTCAATCCACACTCAATGAGGAGCCAACATGCTTAAGTTTAAAGCACCACTTTACTCAAGCTAGCAATTTGTGTAGGAACAGAAGTCAGGTTGAGACAACATTCAAGTTATAACTTGTGCTTCCACTGCAGTAAGGCCCTATGCTAGAAAAATTTGAGAAACTAAGTATTTTATTTACTTTGTGCAGTTGGTAGCATAGTCATTTTCATAGTTTCCCTGGTAGAATCAGCCAATTTGTTTGTGAGTGTCTTCCATAGAACAAAAGGGGATAGAAAACCTTTTTAAAGAAAGGAATATATAGTTGTAAAACCTCCAAAATTGGCAGTTGTGACGCCTCAGCAGGATTAGAACTTGAAACTACTTCCAGTTTGTATTAAACTTGCTAGATTTCAAGTGGATGCTGTCCCTTTAATAATTCAGTTTAAAATACACCCCAAACCAACTGTTAACATATTACTCCAGAATTTAAAATATCAGAATGGTTTTAGGATTATGCCCTTCTTCCGCAGAAACTAATGAAGGTTATCTGAGAGAATGGAGTCTCTGCAATACTTGCCTTCAAAGGCCACTAAAGGATATTTCCACCCAAAACATTTCAATGAGACAAGGTTTGTGAGGTAATATTTTTAGTGGACCAACTTCTGTTGGTGAAAGAGACAAGCTATCAAGCTACATGGAGACTTCAAGAAGAGCTCTGTATAGCTCAAACACTTGTCTCTTTCACCAACGGAACCTGACCTAATAAAAAATATTACCTCCCACTTTGTTGCTCTAATATTCTGGGACCAACACTGAACATGAGGTTTTGAGGAACTTACATTAACAATAGCAACACCTTCAGTTCCACAGATTCAAAACAAAAATATAATTAAAGCATTAGTCTATTAACAAAGATATCCTCTTGCTGTTACAGTCAAGTTTGTTGTTTTGCAAGTACCTAATCTCATGATAAAATAATAAAGCAAGTAAGAGAAGCACCTCACCTTAATGCTTGCCCTTATTGTTGTGGAATACTGTAGTGTTTTAAAGCGGTTATCCTCCTTAAAAAACTCCTCTCAAAACTCTCTTTTGCCATGATGCCTGTTGGCATGCCAAGATCACAGCCTATTATGCTACCCAATAGTGTCTCATTGTATCCTAGTACTCCCCTACACATCATCCGTCCCTATCCACCTGTTAGCTCGTTTTATAGGTAGACTGTAAGCTCTGTGGCAGGGAGTGTCTTTTTGTTCTGTGTTTGTGCAGTGCCTAGCACAACTGGGTCCTGGTCCACCACCAGGGCTTCTAGGGTTGCCAACCTCCCTGTTTCACCGGGAGTCTCCCGGAATTGGGTTCTATCTCCTGGAGGCTACTGAAACCAAACTGGGAGACTTTAGGTTGCTAAAAGTACAGCGGTGCAGCAGGGCTAAGGCAGGCTCCCTGCCTGCCCTGGCTCTGCGACGCTCCCATAAGCGGCCGGCACATCCCTCTGTCTCCTGGAGGGAGCAGGAGGGTCTTCGCGCACTGCCCCCTCCCCAAGCACCGACTGCGCAGCACCCATTGGCGGGGAACTGCAGCCAAGGGGAGCTGCAGGGGCAGTGCCTGCAGGCAGGGGCAGCACACGAAGTCCTCTGACCCCCACTCCCATGGGCTGCAAGGACGTGCCAGCCACTTCCGGGAGTGGCACCAGGCAAGGGCAGACAGGGAGCCTACCTTAGCCCCGCTGCGCTGCCGACCAGGAGCTGCCAGAAGTAAGCACCGCCTGGCCGGAGTCTGCACCCCTCACCCCCTCCCATACCCCAACCCCCTGCCCCAGCCCTGAGCCCCCTCCCAGAGCCAACCTCTCCCCCAAACCCCTACCCCAACCCTAAGCCCTCTCCAGCAGCCCAACCCCCTGCCCCAGCCCTGAGCCCCCTCCCAGAGCCAACCTCTCCCCCAAACCCCTACCCCAACCCTAAGCCCTCTCCAGCAGCCCAACTCCCTGCCCCAGCCCTGAGCCCCCTCCCACACCCAAACTCCCTCCCAGAGCCCACACCCCCTCCAGCACCCCAACTCCCTGCTCGAGTCCCATTATAGTGAATGAGAGTGGGGGAGAGCAAGCGAGGGGGATGGAGTGAGCAGGGCAGAGCCTTAGAGAAGGGGTGCAGCAGGAGGTAGGGCAAGGGTGTTTGAGTTTGTGTGATTAGACAGTTGGCAACCCTCGGAGCTCCTAGGTGCTAAAATGATACAGCAATTAACAGAAATAATACTAATAATGCCCTCAGCAGGGGGACACACCTGCGGGTGGGTGGCGAGGCTAAGCCTCCCAAAACCCGGGCCCTAGCCCTACCCTCGCTCCCCTTCTCCCCTTCAGCCGGAGAAAGCTCATCTCCAGCCAGAAGTCTGGGGCTCGCAGCTCCGTGGCAGCTCGGCCTCCGGGGGTGGAGGGGCGGGACGGACGACCTTGTTCAAAAAGGGGGGGCTGGCCTGGGTGTGTGCGCGCATGCATGACCCACGACAGCATCCCACGGCCGCTACGGCCTCAGCTCTGCTGTTGTTCCCCCGGGTTCCCCAGACCACACGCCAGCCCTCCCGGCACGCGGGCGGCAAGGGCGGAGCCGGCAGGGGAGGCGCGGCGGTTACTTACAGCTCTGGTCTCGTACAGCACCAGTTTTTGCACGCAGCGGATAATCGGCGACGCCGCCCCCGCGGGCATGGCGATAGCGGGGTGGGCTCCGGGCCCGCGCCACGGCAACGGGGGGAGGGGGAACAGAATTGGGACGGGGACAGACGTTTAACGGGCGGGGAACGGACGGGTTCCCGTAGCGAGCCTCGCCCCGCGGATAGGGCTGTGGAGCCGCTCGGGGGGCTCCAGCGTCAGGGAGAGCGGCAGAGGGTCCCGGCCTCTGGGGTAATAGGCGCCGGGGAAGAGGCGGATGAGACCAGAGGCGGGTTGGAAGCTCGGCGGGCGTACACCTGCACAGACCCTGCAGGGAGAGGGCGCTCCCGGTCACCTCCCCACCGCTAGGAACCGGAAGCGAGGCTGTCACAGCGCGCAGGCGCGGCCCCGGAGAGCGCATCGGCCCACAGCGCCCCCGTGACCCCGTCACGTGACGGAATGAGCTCGAAGCCGTGGCGGCCCTCTCAGCTGTTGGTGCCAGTGGGTTGCGGCTGTGAAGCGGGCTGTTAGAGGGAAGCGATGAACATTGAGGCGCAGACACCGGGCTGCCGCTGGGGGAGAGGGTGTCACTGGCTACGTAGGGGCAGTTCCCCATTCCCCCACGGAAGGGGTGCTTCTCCCCGCCGCATTACCGCTGGGGACTGCTCCGACCTCCACAACACCACGCTCAGGGGCTGGTTTCCCGCCCGGTGCTACTCTCACATTCACCGCTACAGAAAGACCCTGCGCCTGTAAATCTCTCCATAGCGGTTAGGCGCACGCGCCGCCGCCGCCCACTTTAAAAATCTGTCCCTTGCACGCGCGCGGGGACCGCGGCTCGCACGCTGATTGGGCACGGGGCGCGCTCAGTTTCGAAGCGGAGAGCAGCAGGCGCGGGGCGGGGCTCACTGGTTGCCACGGGTTACGAGGCTACACAAATCCGCGCCGGGCAGTGAGCAGGGATCCCGGCGCTCGGGAGGTGGAGGGGCCGTTCCCTGCCTGTCCCGCGCAGCGTAAGTGATGCCGCCCCAGCCAGCACCCCCGCCCCAGCCTCCCTTCCCCCTCTCGGCGCCCCCCCACCCCGGGCTGCGCGGGGTGTGGCGCTGGGCACAGGCCTTACGTGCCCTGCGCCAGAGGGTCCCCCTTCCCCCCCGGTCACCGACAGAGCCCGAGCTGCCCTGAGCATCTATGGCAATGCCCCGTGCGGACCCCGCCGCCCTGTCCCCACGGAGGGACCGTGTCCGGCCCCAAGCCAGCCGCGTGACACCCCGCCCCGCGCCTGACCCCGCCGGGAGCTTAGTCCAAGGCCAAAGTGTTTTACAAATGTATCCCCGCGGGAGAGACAATGTTTAGAAACGTCATCAAATTAATGTGTTAAAACTTCAGTGACCGATGGCTTAATTATTTATTAATTAACTCAATCAAATCAGGAGCTGGTTGTACAAGATTTCTCGGGCCACCCCAAGTGACCATCAGTCTGTTTTGAAGGAGGTGGGACAAGTCACTCCTGACAGAAAGCCTCATCCGATTTTGTGATAACCCCGCCCCACCCTGCAGTGGGATGATTCAGTTAATGTATAGGCAAAACAAACCAGACTATTTTCTCCCCAACCCCTTTGTTTCCCGAGGAGCTGTGCTATATTAACAACAAAGAATCAAACAAACTGCATTTCCCTTGCTAGAAGAGAAAACACAAATCCAGGTTGATGCCTTGTGGTATCTTGGTATAGCAGCCTACCCAACCAGCTACTTGTCTGCTTACTTCCTGCGGGGTTTGCAGTCTCTGACCCTGCCATGTAACCTTCCATTGCACAAGTAGAGGAGAAAGCTAGAGTGGAGTTTGCTGGAGGCACTGTGAATGCACCTCATCATAAGACTCTTCAAAGGAGGATGTGAGACCTGTTGCAGGATTGGAGTGAGCTGGGACCTGTAGGAAGATTATAGGGGAGGAGCAGAGATTTGTTTAACCTTGTGTACTATCAATAGTCCAGTTGACATTGATGGGCTACTCACTGTGTGTAAAATTAAGCATGTAGTATAGACATAGCCTAAGTCTTTGCAGGATCATGGCCCAATTCTGGAGGCAGAGAGTGAATCTGTAAGGATACTGAACACCATAACATAAGGGAAAGCCAGGAGAAGAAAGGGGCAGTTGGATCTTGTTTGAGGATCAAAGAGAAACTCCAGGACATAGCCCAAGATCAGAGTTGCCAGACCTCAACACTCTGCAAATGATACCATGCAGAAATTGGAGACCCCCAGATGACCTGATCCTGACTGGCCATCAAGAAAAGTTTATCTGACAGAACAAGGAGTAATGGTCTCAATTGCAGTGGGGGAGGTTTAGGTTGGATATTAGGAAAAACTTTTTCACTAGGAGGGTGGTGAAGCACTGGAATGAGTTACCTAGGGAGGTGGTGAAATCTCCTTAGAGGTTTTTAAGGTCAGGCTTGACAAAGCCCTGGCTGGGATGATTTAGTTGGGGTCGGTCTGGCTTTGCGCAGGGGGTTGGACTAGATGACCTCCTGAGGTCCCTTTCAACCCTGATATTCTATGATTCATGTTGCGAGTTGGGGATTGAAAAAGAGGAAGTCTATCAAAGTCTGAAAAGAGGAAAAGGGGTGCCATTTCAGACTGGGGGGGGGGACTTTAACCCTGATTCCAGAGGCTACTTAGGCATCTAAAAACTAGTTTTTTGCAGATAATAGGGGAGGGACACAACCAAAAATGATACTCAAAGGAGTGGGCTCAGCTCAAAAAGTTTGAAATCTCAGGGTGCAGGAAGGGGGTAACTAGGTGCTATGTGCAGAGAGGTTTCAGAGTAACAGCCGTGTTAGTCTGTATTCGCAAAAAGAAAAGGAGTACTTGTGGCACCTTAGAGACTAACCAATTTATTTGAGCATGAGCTTTCGTGAGCTACAGCTCACTTCGAAGTGAGCTGTAGCTCACGAAAGCTCATGCTCAAATAAATTGGTTAGTCTCTAAGGTGCCACAAGTACTCCTTTTCTTTATGTGCAGAGAGGGAGGTAGCTTCGGGTGCAGGCAGGGAGTAGCTAGGGGCTGGGAGGGGCTGTATCAGAGGGGGTGCTGCTGGTGTGGGAGCCAGCATGTGCTTAGACTCTAGTTGGCACAGTGAGGACAGCTCAGTGGGGCTAGGGCAAGGGACACACTCTGCCAGCCCTGGTACATGGGGAGGAGGAGGACACCCCAACATCAGCCCCCACCTGCCTCTGCGCAGCAGTTCAGGAGGCAGGTTCCCCATCCCAAACAGCATGGCCAGTGGTGGCTCTACGATGGGAGGTGGCGGGTGCAGAGCAGCAGCTGCAGACAGTGGTGAAGCAGGGGGAGAAGGGGCAGCATCTTCCCTCCTGCTGCAAACTTCACCCAAATGTGGTACAAAACTTGGAGGATAGGTGCCCCCCGCCCCTTAAATGGCACCCCTATAATGGGCTTAATGAAGGTTCTGATCATCTATTTTCTGAAGTTGTTCCCCCCCCCCGCATTGTATATGCTCAATAGTTATATTTGCCTCTGTCAATATCCATTGTTTACTCACATGATCAATTGCTATTCACTATGTTTTCTGTCTGCACAGTCATATGTAAACCATTATGCCTGCTGTTATATAAATAACAGTTTATTTTTTTCCTAATTTAGACTATTTTATTTATGGCTTCACCAGAGAAAAAACAAGATTATCCCTTTGTAGATATATTTGATGAAGATGAAGCTGAAAAATCCTTTCTGTTGTCTAAACCTACATGCTTAATTATCCTTGGAAAGCCAGTAAGACATCCAATTTCTATATTTTAATATGAACATCTCATAGAAATTATTTTCCCTCAAATAGATTTGGTAAAGGTTTTATATTTTCTTTTTAAATAATTAGCTTAATAATACAGTCAAAGCCACTCTAGGGCCTAATGTTGCATTTTTTTTCCATTCCAAAACAACTGTTGGGGTAAATAAGAATTTTAGGAATGAAGGATGAGGAGCCTAAATCCTGCATGGTGCTGAACGCCTTTTGCTTTCATTAAAACCAGTAGGAATTGAGGACACTCTTTGCAGTGGCACCTGCTGGCTCATTAAATGGACACAGATAATCAGGAAAACTGCTTTAATAAGATAAACTTAAGGGAATAGGGTTTTTTTTCTATTATATAGCATGAGTGCTCTGTTATCTTAATATGATGATAACAATTGCTCAGCCTGTTTTGGTAGGGTTTGTTTTTGGGGGGCCTAATTGACTTGTCAGTTACAATTAGAGGTGTTAGTATCGTGATTAAAGGTCACAGATTTCTCCAAGATTTTCCTCTGCTTTTCACAATGGCAGCCAATATGTTTGTTTTTATGTTCATCACATTTTAACATTTAAAACATATGATGAATTACAAATTAAAACAAATATCAGTAATAGACAAAAACTTACAATTGAATAAACTGAGTTACAGAAACATATAATAATATTAAGTACTATTTAGATCTTCTTTGTTTAAATAAAACTGCCCTTTAATTGGGAAGAACTGGAATCCACCAAGACATCCTGGCTGAGAGGCTTGTATTGTGTTGTTGTAATTTAAGGGCTTCACTTTTTCCTTAAAAATTATGTGGCCTATTGACTAAGACAATTTAATTAGAAAGTTGCAAGTACTTGTGTGTACCGTATATATTTTTCGTTTATATAATTCACTGATAGAGCAGCTATCACCATATTACAAGGCACTTCTTTTAAAAGGTAAGAATAAAATTCCATGGAAGCAAACAAAAGCTAAGCCAAATAAACACATTTTCAGCGTGCTCAGACTCAGGCTAGGTCTACGCTAGAAACTTTTGTCAGGATAATAGTACCGTATCAGCTAGGGTGTGATTACTTACAGTACTATACTGGTAAAAAGCTCTAGTATAGACAGGTTTCAGAGGAACAGCCGTGTTAGTCTGTATTCGCAAAAAGAAAAAGGAGTACTTGTGGCACCTTAGAGACTAACCAATTTATTTGAGCATGAGCTTTCGTGAGCTTAGCTGTAGCTCACGAAAGCTCATGCTCAAATAAATTGGTTAGTCTCTAAGGTGCCACAAGTACTCCTTTTCTTTTTGCTAGTATAGACAGTTATAGGCCTATTTTGTTCAGGGAATTGATATGTTATACTAGAAGAATAACTCTTTTGCTGATAAGCTGTGCCTCCACTAATGGATGTTTGCCAATAGAGCTATCCCATCAAACCCTTTCTAGGGTAGGCAAAGCCTCAGGTGGAACTGAGTATGGGTTTTTGGCCAGATTGGCAAGCTCCACCATGGTTTAGGTGGTCTCACTGGCCTATATCTGCTCATTATCGGGACTTTCCTTTCTATGTGAGGAAACCTTCTGCATGGCACTAGGAAGGTGTTCAAGCCTTGAAACAGAAAGA